AGGTGGGGGGTGAATAGGCTGTGGAGGTATGGAGGTCTAGGGACTTTGGAGGAAAGGCTGTGAAGGGTCCAGGATGGCGAGAGGGGCATGAGGCCGAGAGGGGCTTTGGGAGCAGTGCCGAGATGCCAAAGAAGGTTTCTGGGAGGATGGGGAGCGCTCGGGGTGGTGCTGGGGGATGGGACAGTTTGCAGGGCCATGAAGCCTACTTGAGCCACGTTAAGAGGTGGAGGCACTCCTGAAGCTCCCGTTTGGGTGCGTGGTTACTGTCAAGCAAGACACAAGCCCGAAGGTCTCAGGAGCCAGACTGACTGCGGGGTTGTTTGTAGGGAGTTCCTGTGTCTAGGAGCATTGTTTAGTTCTGGCTTGGAACTTGGCTGGGTTGTAGATTGGCTTTTTTTTTTTTTTTTTTTTTTTTTTTTTTAATGTTATGAGGCTAGGGAAGGTCTGCTTTGGGGCCTTATAGTCATCCCATTGGGGTAGGGAAGTAACGGGGTGTTGGAGCTGGCCGAATCCCAGGCTGGGTATCTTGTGCGGCTTCCCTGCTTCTACCCTGTAGCCTGTGGGAGAAATCACAGTCACATCGCCTCTGCGCCTTCACAGCCAGCTCCCCTCTGGAGGGGTGACTTGGTGCCTCCGTGGTGGGCGAGCTCGTTTTTAATAGAGCCTGGGATCACTCTCTGTGAATGGTGTTGTGCAATTCTCTATTTCATCGTGGTTTTTAGTCTGTGAAATCAAATAAAAACTTTTTCTCACTGTTTTTTCCCTGGTCAGTGGATGTGCTCAGTGTTCAAGCAGTAAAGCGGGCTCTTTTAAATGGCTGTATGTGTCTGGCATATAGTGAGGGCTTTTATCCCTCTAGGAAAGTAAGTCTAAGCAGTAGGTTTGCAACCTATAGTGACAATCCTGTGGGGTCTCTGACTCAGACGGTGTCTTGGGGTGGGCAGGGCGAGGAGAAGTCTGGATTAGAGCTCTGGGTGCAGTGAAACTGAGCCCGATTGCACCACACAACTGATGTCTGTGCAACACCCATCATATCAAAATATACAAGGGGATGCTGCAGCCCTGGGCCCTAGCACGCTTGGTTTAAACTTGGAGTGCTGGCATGAAGTGCCAGGATGCCGTTCGTGTTTGCATGGATGTTGAAAAAAAACCCCAGTCTCTCTGTCCAAACTTATCCCTGTTCTTGGAGAATAATGTGTTCACAAAGAAGCTTGGCAGTTTGTGAACAAGCTGTAATCTTCAAAGGCACGCGATGATGTCTTAAATATGAAATAACCGGTCGTTTTGTTTGAAAATGCTAAGCAGAGATGCTATCCTTGTAGTCTTTATTGCACAGTAACTACATGAAGTTAGCATTCTCCACTCTTCCCTATAGCTGACCTCACTAATTTACTCTGTGGTGAGGTTTCAGTGCCTTCTTTCCACTGCCTTTTTACGAGCGGCTGGCAAACGTCCACAGCGTGTCCTAGGGTGAAAGTGTGCTTTTATTGTCGGGGAAGGCCTAATCTGCAGTTGTGGGAGGCCGGTTTGTTAGGGTCCTTTATTTTCCATGCAGGGAGGTTAGAGCAGCGCAATCTAGTGCAGTAATTCCCTGAAAGGGAGGTCCCTGGGTGCTATTTTGGATGGCATGTGGGTCTCTTCCTTGAGCCGCACGTTTCGGGTGGCGGGAGGGCGTCCTGTGCTGGAGAAGGAACCTGAGCTGCAGGGAAGGGTCTAGGTGGGCTGCAGAAGTTGGGGAAAAGGTCATTTGGTTTCAGAAGGGTCCTTCATGGAAATCCCGAGGGGTGCTGGGGGTGTGTGGCTTTGAACTTGAACAGTAACTTCTCCTTTATTAGCTCCCCATGTAGGGACTTGCTTAACCCTAGCAGACAGGAAGAGGTATCTGTTAAATTCACACACTCTTAATCTGCACTGACGTCCACGAGCAGCCAAGCTCGTCTGCTGCTCTGTAGGACTCGTGGTGGGATGTGTTTAGCAGAGCGAACATGAACAGGCTCTGGAAGTCAGGGTTTGCCCACAGCGTTTCGCTGACAGCCTGAGGTGAAGATGATGATGATTTTTCAAAGCTTCATGTACTTTTGTGCCGGTATTTTCTAGAGCATCTCTTCTTGAGTTCCCCAAAGCTTGATTTAACCTGATTTTATTGTAGGGGTAGTTGCCTCAGTAAAATACCTTCATGCAAAACCCACTCCGTTTCGCTGTAGCGCCACGGACAGTTTAACTCCAGCAGCAGAGTTTGGGTGTGGGATTTGCACCATTTGCATCTGCTTTGACTGAAAATAGGGCTGTGTCCACAGGAGGAAGAACTAGAGCTCTGTCCTGTGAGGAAGTAGCAGTTTCTCCTGAATGTTAAGATTGGTGGTGAAATATTAATACTCCCAACTGAGTCACCAGCCAGACCGGATTGGGTCTCCTGCTTCCTAAACTGATTGGGAGGTGTACAGCTACGTGAACAACTTAGTCTGGTTTCCCAAGAAAATGAGGCTTGTGTGATACTGCTGCTGTGTGTGGCTGTCTGCTCTTGGCAACTTTTGAGTCTGTGCCGCTCGCAGCCAAATCAGGCAGGAGGCAGAAATCTGAAAGTTAAATTTGTGTAAGTTTCATGGAAATAAGTACCCTGGGAGAGGAGGGGGGAAGAAACCAGTTAATGGTGCCTGCTGTGGGAGAGTGCAGCACGAGCTCAGCTTTTGCTAGGTAGCAGAAAATCCCCACGACCCGTGGGATATACCGCAGGAAGCCAGCTTCATTAACGCTGGTGCCCATAGGGTAGCTCGTCAGGTGGATCTGCGTGGGTGTGCGCTTGGTAGGGACTGGGATTCTTTCTGAAGTATTTTGAGCAATAAGGGTGAAAATGATTGAGAAGCTGTAAAACTAGAGCCACGCTGGTGTTTGCTTACTGACAGAATTAGCTGCTTTGCCTCTCGTTCCTGTTAGGTAAATAGTAAGAAACTGAGGCAAAGAGGCTACGTGCCGTGTCTGATGAGTCATTGTCTGAGCCGGGATTAAACTTGCCTGCCTCTTGGCATGTGGGTTTCTGCTCAGAGTGTGGCTGCGTTCCTCAATGAAACCTGCGAGCTCTGCGGGTGTGAGAGGTCGTAGTGGACCTGAACCGCCTGGAGAGGACGTTGGAGAGCTGTCCTGTGCTGAGGGAGGCCGCACGGATGTGGTGCCCAAAGCTCCTCCTGCCCAGGAGAGCTGGAGCTCCCTCCCCTTAACTTGTGCAGTGTGATGTTAGTCCCTCAGACTCTGCCTGGGTTGCCTTCCCTAGAACTGGCATTACAAAATTCCTTGTTTGGCCATATCCTCATTTCCAAATGTCTTATTTGAGTCTAGGATAAACTTTTCTGAATGTCTGGAGATACTTGTGCAAACAAGATGGGAGACCCTATGCCCCGTGAACAGATGCAGTGCTGAAGGACAAATAAAATGACAGATGACCTGATGGCTCTTGTGGCTTGGCTGTGATTCTGTTTGAAGGAATTCGTAGTTTTCCCTGCTGTAACAAAATCCTTTCTGCTCGCAGGTGATGTTGGAAACTACTATTATGGCCAAGGTCACCCAATGAAACCCCACAGGATCCGGATGACCCACAACCTACTGCTGAACTATGGCCTCTACAGAAAGATGGAGATATATGTAAGTGTGGGGCTGGTCACAAAGAAAAATAGGTATGAAAGATGTTAGTTTGCCTGTCAGGATTTAATTTTGATGCTTCAGACTTGTGAGTTCTCTGCTGATAAGCCAAAGAGGAAAGGCAAAAAAAAAAAAAGCGGTTGTGCTGATGTATTTCTGTCTTCTGATTGCTTGTAGTGAGATGTTCCTCACTTCCAGTAGGCTTTGGAGACTGGAAAATGGCTTTCCTCCTTGTAACTTAAATATTTTCTTTGTCTAGATATGTAACACGTTCCAGTGGTGGCATTCTTACCTTTGAAAATAAGTTTCTCTTGTTTAATGCTGCTCGTTTGGGTGTTTTGCTGTTCTGGGGAGTAAATCTGAGATTGGGAATGGTAATTGGGGAGAGAGATGTGTTTTAAAACAAGCCTTGCTCTTCTCTTTTGTCCTTGCAGCGCCCCCACAAGGCAAATGCAGAAGAAATGACCAAGTACCACAGTGATGACTACATAAAATTTCTGAGATCTATTCGCCCAGATAACATGTCTGAGTACAGCAAGCAGATGCAAAGATGTAAGCTATGCGTGTAGCGCTGTAGTTCGTGCCAATGTTAGAATTTGTGGTTCTGGGTATCCTAGGCCAGCGTTAGAGGCTTGTGATAAAAAGAGTAGGAGGAACCATGGGAAATGGTCTTTCTCCTGGCTTTGTTTTTGATTTTTCTGGTAAATCAAGCATTTTAATAACGAGTCCCTCTCTTAAGCCGATGTGCCAAAAGAGCTGAAGAAACCCCTTTGACCTGGCTGTCTTTTTTTCGGTCTTGTGTTTTGATGGAAACTCTTCTAAATTGCCTTCCTGGCTCAGAGGTGACTGAACTGCTCCATTTGTGAGCTGCGTGTATTTTCTGTTATTGCTTGTCTTTAACCAGAGGCGTTGAGGTGGGAAAAGGTTGTGTAATTTAAAAGAAACAGGTAAACAAAACCCCAGCTCCTCAGTTGTGTTCAAAATCTTCAGTAACTCTGAAGGATTTTCAGGACACTGGCAGTTTGGAGATGGGGGAGGGTTGAGATGCACAAGAATACCTGTTCACTTTATGTTAGAATGGTTTATTTTGTGAGTTAATCTCTCGTTCTAACCTCTCCAGACTGTGGAAGGGCTCTTTTATGGTGGCTTTAATGTTACAGAAACCTTTTTTTTTGGTCTCTGCAACTCCAAGCTGATGTTCTTTGGCAATGACTGCAGCGAGGTAGATTTCTAGCAAGTACAGACAAATAGTGGTGAAGGCTCAAGGTTCATTTAAACGCTATTTTGGTCTTGCATACTGAAATCCTTGAGAGCAGAGAAAAGTTGTTAGCCCATGGGGTTCATTTATGTGGAGTAAGAGTAATCTCCAATTTAGAAGAAATATGGGTCTCCAGTCTGAAGTGGTGGCACTGGGAAATCAGGAATGAGCTGAAGGGGACAGATGTTAAGGCACAAGCACGTAAGAGGGATGGGTAATACGGCTCATGAGTAATATACGTTGAAAGACTTCCTATAGTAAATGATATACCAAATGACATGTACCAAAGTACATATTTACACGAACTGAACTGTTTACCCCTGAAGCAGATACAGCTCATAAACACCCACTCTGCTGTCTTGGGTAGTCAACGTTTTCTGTACTGTACTTCCACAGAACTATTTTTACCTGAAGGAGGCAAAATATGAAAATTAATCTTAAACACGTGGAGGACAGAGCCTTTCTTCAACGAGAGCTGCAAACTAGAGGCCTCTGTGTAGCTAGAGAACTAGTGCAGGAGGCTCAGAACAAAAGATTAGGGATATAGGAGACAAGGTCACCGCTCCCAGGTACCCGCTTGGTGTTTCAGCTTTCTCTTTGAGAGGAGGACAGCTGCTATGATTTCTGTAAGGATGGTTCCACCTTTAATGCTGGGCTCTCTCTGGGAGTGCAACCACTCCCAGTACGAAGCTCCTCACCCACCCACTGCAAGGAAGAAGGAGCATCTGTGCCTCTCATCTTCCACCAGAGCTTTATTGACCCCTGTTTATTAACATCCCTCCTTAGTAGTCCTGGCTGCTTTCACTCTCCTGGTGGAAAAAAGCCCAACTGGCTTCTGTTTACCCAGCAGCTCCTGTCTTTGCCAGGGATAGCAGAGGGATGCCCTCAAGTAGTCGGTGATGCCCGCAAAGTTCTGAGGGGCAGTAAAGGTAATGAACATTCTGCTAATGCCGTGTCGCCTGCCTGAGGGCTTGGGAGGACTACTCTGTAATCCAAAGGGCAAGGAGTTTAATTTGTTGTCATGGGAAGCATGCAGAAATTGATGACTGAAGTTCTCCATACTTACAGGGAAAGCTTCCAACCACCTCTTTGAGTTAATTATTCAAACTGCCGGTTGCCATGCCCTGCTGAAACAATTGGAAAGGGGTAACAATTGCTTCCTTCTGGGTCTCCTGATGGGTATTGTCCTTTTCGGAGATCCCTGTCCCGAACTGGGACCATTCAGACTCCCCTATCGCACAGTCTTTGTGGAGACTGTGCACTGCCCAGTTTCTAATGCTGCAAGAATTTCGCTGTTTGTGCCTTTCTCATTAAGCACCGAAGTAAACGTTCTACAGATGTTGTTATGAAAATACAGATTATTTGTTTGTTTGTGAAAGCAAATCTTGCAAAATCCAGATTCAATACAAGTCTGTTGTTAGTGTTTTTATTTTTAATCATGGAACTATTTACAGTAGAAATTTATCCAAGCCAAAGCTACAATAGTGCTGAGAAGTTAAAAACTGACTGTCCAATGTGAAGTAAAAGGAGTGTACAAAGGGTAACAAAACAGATGTGGATGTAAACTCCTCGCCCAGTACACACCACTATCTACCATCTCCCCACTTTCTTCTGCAGCGCTGGCACTGTTTGCTTTCTCCACTCCTCATCAGCAATACAGCAGGAAACGGGAGCAAAAGCCTTGCCCACTTGCTGTGGGGTTGCGTGATGGAGCTCAGGGTCAGCTCTGTAGTCAGCAGCAGCACTGTTCCCCCCCCCAGAAGGCACGGAGCCCGCGCAGCAGGGCTGCAGCGTGGCCTGGGGGCTGGTAGCGAGGGGTGCTGGCCCTCATTTTGCCCAGCCTGCCTGTGCCTGTGGTGACCAGCGCGTGCTGCTGGAGCAGAGCAGAAAACTGTAAATGTGCTGCTGGGGTAGCTGCTGAGGACACGTGTCGGTGTTACACAGCTCTTGCTGATAGCATCTCCTCTCTGCCCACTCATTTTCCGACGTGATTGACTGGTTTCGGGATCCCTCGTAACGCACCCCAGTAGATGGCGTGCCGCTCTCGCCAGAGCTCCTGGGACCTTGTCTCACAAGTCAGGAGTATCTTCCCTACAGCAAAAGCCCTTTTTTGCCTCATCAGGCAATCCTCGGGTTGATTACGTTAATGTTTCATTATTTGTGTGTGATATTTTGTTGTTTAAAGCATTGGATCGCTTATCTCATTAGCTTTTTACATCGGAATGGAGGTATCAGCTTCGCCATTTATCTGTAGCTTTGTCTTACTAACTCTTTCGTGTTCTTTTCAAGTTAATGTTGGGGAAGACTGCCCTGTGTTTGATGGGTTGTTTGAGTTTTGTCAGCTCTCTGCTGGAGGCTCGGTTGGTAAGCTCACAAGTTCTTTTCTTTTTCTTCTAAGCAGATGTATGTAATGTAGTTCTGTCTAGGAAATAAATTGTTGTAGGTGGTGGTGGGGAAGCCCTGGGAAACTGTTTCTGGTTTCGTTAATAATTAGATCCAGATTTCGTCCCATGTGAGACTCAAGCCTTGCATACTGACAGATCCCTCTACGTTTGTTAAGCATGTCTTCACTAGTCTCTGTTACTTGACTGAGTATGTGAAAGACTCTGTAAGTGCTATAACAACATCGCCCACCATAGCATTGAAACAAAACCGCAGCAGCAACAGGGGTTTAATAAAAAAATCAACGTGAGCTTTACAGAAAAAAAAAAGTTGTAGAAACCTTGCTCTGGGCAGGCGTAACCTGAAAAGGAAGAAAAAAAAGAAAAAAAAAAAAAAAAAGAGAGTTACTTTATCAGTTGTTTTTCACAAAAAGCCACCGCCTCTGGACGTGAGGCAAAATAGAACCTGAAGGGTTTCGGAAAGCTCCCTGAAAGCTGGAACATTTGAAATGCTTTCACTATTTTCAAACACTTTGTTGCAGAAAGACTGATGTTGCAGAACTGTGTTACTGTGCCTGGGCGTTAGAGCTTTGTGGCTGCTGCTCCCACGGTGACGTCTGGAAGTCTTTGCTTCCTGTAACGTAGTGCAGCGGTACGCACGAGTACCGACTGCAGCGCTTTTTGAAGTAGCTCTATGCTCTCTGGTCCCACGGCTGTAGGTTCCACAGAATCTATAATTTGTTTTGATCCTGGGAGACTTGCAGAATTTGCAGAAAGTTTATGAAGGGGCTGGGGGAAGAGAACTTCCTTTGCCTAAATGCATATTCAGAGAATGACCTAAATATATGTTGGATAAAACCTTCCATTAAAACCTTTCGTTCAGGGCACTGAGAAATCTAGTCTGCCTTCGACTGTGACCCCGGCTAGAATGCGGTGGACTTGTTTGTGCAGATTTCATGCTCCGAGGCAAAAGTGGGAAGCGGTGAAGAGTGTGTGCAGGCAAAACAGAGCCTGCATTTCTCTTCCCTTGCCTTTTGTTAGTTTATTGAGACATCCAGTGTTAAACCCTTGGGCTTGTGCTTTGTAGAGTACCCAAACACGCACGTAAGCAGTGATGTGATCGTAAGGGACCAGTACTTTACCCCTCGGCCTCTGCCATGGGGCCTTTGCTCGCGTGCTAACATTTTGTAATTCTTCTCCCGACAGCCAGCGCTGTGAAGCTGAACAAGCAACAGACAGATATTGCCGTGAATTGGGCGGGAGGCCTTCACCACGCTAAGAAGTCAGAGGCTTCTGGCTTCTGTTATGTCAACGATATCGTCTTGGCTATCTTGGAGCTCCTCAAGTATGGGCAGTACTATTTACCCGCTTCGTTTGTCCATTCTGCTGCATTTCCTCTGAGTCCTTAGCGCTTTCTGCCCAAGCTTTTCTTTTTTGATGCTTTTTTTTTTTTTTTTCAGCTGTGTTTTCCCAGGAGGGCTTAATCAGCTATCTTCTGGGGTGTGGTACCCTCTTCCCCAGGGGGTATGGCTACAGTGGCACTATGCAGGAGGCAGACGGCTTGGAGCGGTTCCTCTTGGGCCCTTCTCTTTACCACCCACTCTGGAACAGGGGGCACAGCTGTAATATGTGACAGCTTTTGGCTCAAGGCAAACCTCAATGGGAGGCTTGGACGTAAAAATGCAGTCTGTTGGCTGAATCTGAATAAACAGAGCTGAGTCTGCCTTCAAAGATCAGTGGCAGCAGCAAAAGCCACATTATTTTCCTCTGTGGTTCCGTTGCACGGCTGACCAAGGCACATGTCTGTTCTCCGCAGCTCTTTTTGCTTGTAGGCTCCGGAGGAGAGAGCTGCCTGGTAGCTGCACAGCCCAGGGGTTAGCACCAAGTTCCTTGCTCTCCTCCCATTTGCTCTGCTGGTGAAGGCCGTTCCTGCCCTGAAGAAATGCAGCATTTTGACTCCTTTCTGATCCTAGGTATCACCAGAGAGTGCTGTATATTGACATCGATATTCACCACGGAGATGGCGTGGAGGAAGCCTTTTATACCACAGACCGTGTCATGACCGTGTCCTTTCATAAGTACGGAGAATACTTCCCGGGAACAGGGGACCTGCGGGTGAGAATGAAGGCTTAGCAGAAAATTACCCTGAAATTCGATCTCGTCCATCTGTTTGCTGTCACTAATTTAACTAAAATCACTGCTCCCCGGGGTTTGCCTGCTCTCAAAGTGGCATCCTTTTTCTGAGGGCAAAGGTGTGTGTGTGTGAGGCAGCTGGCTCGGCTCTTGGAGCGGGTGCTTTGTTCCTGTGATTGTGGCCTGGAGAGGAATAAAACCAAGGCTTTGATATCCGTCTCTTAGCAGCCTTCTGGTGGGATTACGCTCTGAAGACGGTGCATTGGTCATCTGTAGCTACTTGCAAACGAAGCTTGGTCACACAAGCTTTTGGGTGGAAGTTTGAGGCCGTGCTTCTGTGTGTGTTGGTTTATCTTGTTGGCATTTCCTCCCGTGAGTCAGCTCCGCACGTTAATGAACCGCGGTTTTAACGTGGCACCCGTACAGGTTAGGTCCAGGTGTGGTTCGCTGTGTGGCTTCTCACGTTGCCGGAATGCTGTTCTCAGGGGTGAAAGGTTCTTTGCCTTTTTTTTTAAGTGCTTTTTAGTGGAATTGCATTTTTGTGATCTAAATTCTCTCGTCTTCCACTTGTGAGTTGGATTTTTTTCAGCCCTGCCCAGACTTTCGCACTGGTGATGCAAACTTGCATGCAGCAGCATTCCTTCCTGGTGCAGCCATTCCGCCCCATGAATGAAATAATTATTTTTGATAAAACACTTGGGTATGAGAGAGAGAATGGAAATGTAAAAATATATATATGATTTTAAAGTAAAAATAGATTCCCTCGGTTACTAGACCACACGGTCAGCCCGAACTGGTATTTTGGGCTGTGCATCTCTGCAGCGTGCAGGTTTGGAACTAGAATTTTGGCTACCCGATTTATTGCTGTGTAAAAGAGTGGCTTTTGCCAGTGCAGTGAGAGCCCGTGTGCTCAGAGCAACGTGTAGGAGTAGATTTTTCTTCTCTGAACGCTGAGGGCCAAACGCACCCACTTATGCCAAATAAGCTGCTGTTGGGGTCAACTGCCTCTTGCTGCCCTCTGCCAGAGCACTGTTTGTCCGTGCGAGCCTTAGGCTTACGTTGGGATTACGCTGATGGAATCCCGGACTTCCCTTCCTGATTTGGGGCACCATTTGTGTTTGGGGTTGGTTCTGTGGTGACTTGTGGTCTCTCCTGTCTCTCACTCTAACAGGATATTGGTGCAGGCAAAGGCAAGTACTACGCTGTCAACTATCCCCTCCGGGACGGAATTGATGATGAGTCCTATGAAGCAATATTCAAGCCGGTAAGTGAAGACATCTTTGCTGAGTGATTCTTTGTGGATCATACTTGGTCACTGGGTGGCTCATGGAGCCGTTCTTTGGGGAGATTGATTCAGTCTTCTCTAATAAGATTCTTCAGGGCCTGTATTCCTCCCTAACAATTGCAGCCTGTCGTCAGTAAGCTTCGCTTTGTGAGAGCCTCAGTGTTACCAACGTAGGGGAGTCGGCAGCTGTGGGAACACTCGGGATGTCTTCGTGTCACTTGCTGACATGGACATTACTGTGTTGCTGTGACACTGTCCTGTGGAGAGTGTGTAACAAGGGGTTTCTTATTTAGGTGATCTCTAAAGTGATGGAGACGTTCCAGCCTAGCGCAGTTGTCTTGCAGTGCGGGTCAGATTCGCTGTCAGGGGACAGGCTGGGTTGCTTTAATCTGACCATCAAAGGTAGGAGTACCGTACGGTGCCTTGAACTGGCATAACTGATGTAATCAGATGTCATGGAAAAGTTTCTTCTTCTTATGCCGTGAGGCTGTGACCTTTTCCCCCACTGCTGTTGCTGCAGGTCATGCCAAGTGTGTGGAGTTTGTAAAAAGTTTTAATTTGCCTATGCTGATGCTGGGAGGAGGTGGCTATACGATCCGCAACGTGGCTAGATGCTGGACCTACGAGACTGCTGTGGCTTTGGACACTGAAATTCCCAATGGTAATTCTCCCCAGGAGCCTTTGAAGCAGGACTAAGGGACAATGACGCTCTAGTAACAGAGCTCGGGGAAACGGTGCTGCTGTGGGAGAGCTCGCAACCCTAAGATGCTTGAGTAGCTTTTGATTATTACTGTGGAGGAGCTTTTGGGTTCCCTGATTTGCAGTAGCTGTTCTTGTTTGCATTCAAGTCCTGTAGCTCTCCCCTCCAGCAAAAGGTACCCAGCAGCCTTGCCAACTTACTGAAATGAGATCACCTTCCCCTGAAAACTTCTGTGTGCGCTGATAGGGTTTAACTGCCAAGGAAGCTTTGACTGCGCTGTTGCCAAGATGTCTGTTTTGATCGGAGTTTGGGCTACGAGAGCTTCAGCTCCTCCACCGAGCTAAATGCAGTTGTGCTTTTCTGTAGCACTGAGGGGCGGTGTGGTTGTGGTGTTCATCGCTGAGCCAGGGGTAATTTGTGTTTATTCCTTTTCAACTTGCTGCAGAACTTCCCTATAATGACTATTTTGAGTACTTCGGACCAGACTTTAAGCTCCACATCAGTCCCTCGAACATGACCAACCAGAACACCAATGAGTATCTCGAGAAGATCAAGTAAGTGTTCGTTCCTCTTCGCGAGGCTGACACCTCCTACCGGGGGCTCCGCAGCCGTGGGCGGCATCTTGCTGACGGAGGTGTTCCTTTCCTGGCTGGCTCTAGGCAACGTCTCTTTGAGAATCTGCGCATGCTGCCTCATGCCCCTGGCGTCCAGATGCAGCCAATTCCTGAGGATGCTGTTCAGGAAGACAGTGGAGATGAAGAGGAAGAAGATCCTGAGAAACGCATTTCAAGTATGGGCTTGTCTCTGGCATGGTTACGTTGCCCGGCTGGGCAGGGTACTGTTCAGAGCCTGGGGGTGCCAAAGCTGAACAGGATCAGTTAGACAGAGAAGTGAACGGGCTCTAAACTGAGCTACCTTAGTAAAGAGAGGGGGTTCAGATAAATCTCTGTTCTGGAGTCCTTTGGTTTGAATCTGTTCCCACCTTTCGGGTTGATTTTGTAAGATGAAGCAGCGATGCTAAGCACTGCAGGGCTGACAGATTTCTTTTCCCTTGGAGAAACGGCACTTTCGCCAGATGATTTCCATAATGGGAGAACCTAGGCTTTAATGTGAGAATTTAAACAGTTCCTGTGAGGTAGGTGCTATGGCAGAATACTTTCTGGGAGGCTGTCAGGTCTGATCCCAGAAGTTGTCTTCCTCAGTGAAAATGCTACTTTTTAGCCGGATTGGCGGATGGCCTTTAGATCTGGCAGACAGATTTTCACAGTGTGAGGCTGGTTAACCTGCTTATGCTGTCAAGTCTAGACATCACGCTGTACCTCATCCAAGTCGTACATGTGATCTTGGATCTTGGGCCTGAGCAGTTAGGAGTGACGACTTAAAAGGTAGGGCAGGTAGAAAGATGGAGTGTTTATATCGTGGCCTAATCCTGACTTACGTAGGCTCGTTAGTTCCTTCCAGCGTGTAGATCTAGTTGGAGAAGTTAGTGCTTGGGGTCTCCTGACTTCTAAATCTGCTGAAACAACCTCTTGTCCTCTTTGCGCTCAGTCCGCAATTCTGATAAGAGAATATCCTGTGATGAAGAATTCTCTGACTCTGAAGATGAAGGGGAAGGAGGGCGCAAAAATGTTGCCAACTTTAAGAAAGCTAAGCGTGTGAAAACAGAAGAGGAAAAGGAGGAAGAGGAGAAGAAAGGTAAGCCTGAGAGCTAGGATGAGAAGCCCTCCCAGCTCTGTGGAACTTTCCCTGCCATGTACTGTCCTACTGCGCTACATGTGTCTTTTCTTTTCTTTTTCACTAGATGAGAAAGAAGAGGAAAAAGCAAAAGAGGAGAAAGCAGAACCCAAAGGGTGAGCCCTGTCTCCTGGCGTGGCGAGTAAATGGCCGTGCTGGTACTTCCTTGTGCATCTACTCCTGCCCCCAGTGGGGGGCTGCCCAACTTGGGGGGGTTGGAGGAGAGACGTGGTAGTTTGGATGGCTTTGTCACGGGCTCTTCGCGGGAAGAAGTTGGCAGGTGTAGCGCGGCTCACCTGGTAAAGCGCTGTGCGAGCAGAGCCCTCGGTGAAAAGGGCTTCAAAACACTGAGCCTGCCTTCCGTAACGTTACGAGTTTTAGATGAAAATGGGGCTATAAGCACCACTTTTAAGGTTGCAATCCTGGCTTGTTACTAAAGCTTGGGCACAGCCCGAGCTGCTCGTTGAAACCAAATTCTTCACTGCTTGCTTCCCCAGGGTGAAGGAAGAGACGAAATCCACCTAAGATGGCTGCAGCTGGACAGTACCTGTCAGTGCGTAGTTGTCGTAGGTTAGCTTCTCTGGTTGCCTCCCATTCCACAGGATTTATATTTTATATATGTTTCTGTATATATTTCTATATAAATATATAAATGACTTGAGAACTGTAAATTATTCCTTGCTGCACTCCGCTGGGAGCAGATAGGGAGGATTCTGTGGAGTAGACAGACCTGCACTGCCCAGATTTGGTGACTGGGAAGTTTCACTCTTGCCTTCCACTGCTTCCTTAGTGTGTCTTTTGAAAAAAAAAAATCACTTCCTTTCTTTTCTCTCTCCTCTGAAATAACCACCCTTGGAAAAGAATAATTTAAGTAGAAGTAGTATCTGCATTTCAGGTTAGGTGGAAAGATGGCCATGAATTTTTTTTTTTGAATTTTTTTTTTTTTTTGGTGGGAGAATCTGAGTTCCCAAATGAAGCCTGTGAGAGACCGACTATTCCTTTAGTCTTCAGTTTGATTCCACCATGGCAAGTAACTGCAAGCTGGTGCCGCTTCTCAGGGTCAAATAGTGCAGTTCTTGAATAGAGTTGGCTACCTCCCTGCAGCAAACTTGTGGAAAGAGATGAAGCAGCTTAAAAGCAATCTGAAAAGCGCTTTAGTGAAATCAGCCCAAGAGCCCTGCAGGTGCAGATCTGGAAGATGCAAAATGAAATTCACCCTAATGTGGTGGTTAACATTTTCCGAGATCTTGCAGATCCAGTTGGTGTGGCAGCATTATACACCTCGAGTTAAGAGAAGGGATGAAATTTTTATACCTTTTTTTTTTTTTTCTGTGCCCCTCTGGAGGAGGGGGGAAGTGAGTTACTGCCCATTTGGCCGCCTGCTTTGCTTTTCCTGCTAGTTCTGCCCTCGGCTACACGTGCCGTAATGCGCTTTCTCGGTGCTGAGCTGTGTCCTAGGCTGAAACCACTGCAGAAATTCCCGACTCATCTAAAGGCCAGACCAAACAGAGCCCGGCTGAAAGCTCTTGGCGTTGTGTGTCGCTCCCTGAAAAACTCTTCTCTGAAGTGAAGTTACAAACGCTTCCAAACTGAACCTTTCCTTTCTCTCTTGCTCTCAAGGCCAGTAAATATGGAGAATCTTTTCATCAGCCGTCTGAGCTGTTATCTTTGTAAGGGAACAGCAGATGGGGCTCTGTGCGTTTTTATAACTACTCCTCTTCCTACTCCCACGCGTTCTCTCACACCCAAAGGTCTTTTGTGACCAGAACTGGCCTTCCTTTTGCATCTCGTTTTGTACAGCTGATCATTAGATGAGCGTTGGATGAAATGCTTTGCAGAAGTTTTGCAGGCAGTTTTGACTCGCTGCTCTCCTTTCTCAGGGGGATTCCTCTGTCCCTAAGAGGATCTGTACCTCCCACGGAGCGCTGCTGCTGGTTTCAACTCTAATAATGCTGCTAACTTAACACAGGTTATTTTTTAAATGTTTTATTTTTTTAAATACTTCTTTTCCCTTTTCCACCGTGAGTTTTTTAGTCTCTTTGAATCCGAGTGACGTGTCACTCCCGCTCTTCAGTGTTTGTATGTGAAGCGAGAGAGATCAGTGTATCTTTGTGTCTGGGGTGGGGGGGGGGGTGTGGGGGAATATATTGTGGTTTTTTAAAGATGCTTTTATTTTGAATTTTGAGAATCTTTGTAATAAAACTGGTACATTTCTATGGTTGGTGTGAGTTTGGTCTGCTTTCTGCTGAGAGGAAACGAGTGGGAGTTCAGTTTGTTTTCAGAGCCATTGCTGGAAAATGGTGCAGTGGCTTGGTCGTGACCCTGATGTAAATGTAGGTCCCAACAACAAAAAATGACAGCTGTCCTAAGGCTGTGGAGGGAAAGGTGAGGCATGGTCACTGTCCCTCCTCTGTCAGGAAAAGGGCTAGATGTGTTGGTTGAAGGGCCACCCACCAAAGCATTTTATTTGGAACATGCTGCATGTGAAAGATTGCTTTTGTTTCTTTTGTAAATGTTTGGTTTGTTTGGGGTTTTTCTTCTTTTTTTCCCCTGGGTTTTATAAGATAGCCTTGAAATTCTCCTCATGGCCCTTCTCTCCAGAAAAGGTAAGTCAAAATCCTCTGGGTTCTCTTCGCTCACAACTTTTCTCAGGGTCCCTGGGGCAGTTTTTCTGTCTCTTTCTGAAATTACAGCTGGGTTCTCATCCAGCAGCATTGCTGATGCTGGTTGGGTTTGCCGTTTGTTTGGAGTTACACTACTCCATGCAGCTGATGCTCTGAAAGCAATGCTAACCTAGAACGGGAATAGTAAGTTCTGGGAAGGGAGTATCTTTTGGATGAACTTAGGTGGTTTTTATCTGGTATTCAAGTGAAAAAAATTTCATTATTATAATTAGGAGCAGGTTAATTCTGCAACTGGGTGGTGGTCACACCTGAAATGGACACAGAAGCCAAATTTGCTCTTTATGTAGTTAAGAAAAAGCTTTGCGTGGCACAGTTGACTTCCGTTGCTGTAATAATACTCCGGGAAACTGAAGTTATCCTTTTCACCACAGCAGACAACTAAAATCCTCCCCTCCTTGAACAAAACTGTACAATTCAAGTTGCCCCGGCCAGATCACGCCTGCCAACGTACAACTGCAGCCCCGCTCTCTTCCA